CGATGTGCACAGCAGACAGAGAGCAGCCGCCTCCCTCCCTCCGTCCCTTAGCTACAGCCAGGGCCCTCTAGCGACCACACTCCATGCAAACCCGCTCCCTCGGGACTGGAATGCATCAGGTACGGATCTGGCCAGAATCCTGCCCTCCCTCCTAAGCAGAGTCCTGGTCCGGAGACAGAGCCCCAGCGAAACCTGCTCCCAGCTCCTAACAGCAGACAGAGAGCAGCCGCCTCCCTCCCTCCGTCCCTTAGCTACAGCCAGGGCCCTCTAGCGACCACACTCCATGCAAACCCGCTCCCTCGGGACTGGAATGCATCAGGTACGGATCTGGCCAGAATCCTGCCCTCCCTCCTAAGCAGAGTCCTGGTCCGGAGACAGAGCCCCAGCGAAACCTGCTCCCAGCTCCTAGCCAGGGCTTCAGGGCGCCCTGGGGTCTTTAGTTCAGAAAACTCCTGGCTGGTGTTCCAGTGTCTCTCTTCCTTCCTGTCCCCACCCACTGTGTCCCTGCTTGCTATGCAAAGCCATCTCTTTGGCAGCCTCCTCCACCCAAGTCAATTGGGCCAAGAAATGGTGGTCCGAGGTGGAAGGCAGGTGGGATCCAACCCATGCCATGGGACAGGGTGTGGACTGGTTTATCTGCTACTATGGTCACTCACCTGTTCCCAGAATAGGGGATCTTCCAGTACCTCTGGGCAAGGCCTGAGCCTGTTCCTCCCAGCATGACCTTGGACATGAAATCATGCCAATGCACTGCATCCCCTGTCCTACACTGGGGGAAAACTATTTCTGGTTTTGTTCTGAGTATGGCATGGGATAGAAATCCTAGAAAAGCAGAACTGTCCCAAGTGGCCTGCCTACTCTCTGGGCATGTACCTTTCTGCCAGCGATCCCTCCCTGATCCAGAGGCCAGGCTGTCTGGTCATGGAGGTCCCCTCCAAGGGTCCCACACAACTGAAAGCTCTTTTATCTCCACCCTAGAAGTCTCTGAGCTGCCTGTCTTTTACCCAAGATCTCTTCAGGACCTGGAAGCTATTTTCAGAGACCATGTCGGCAACAGCTGTTGAGTGGGAGAAACTCCTGGCAGAGCCCCTGCTGCACAATCCGCACCTCACTGTGAAGTGGTGGAGTTCCCCTGGGTGTGCTGGATGCCAGTCCTGGCTGGTGCCACCAGACTCAAACAATGGAGGGAGGAGATGGACTAGCCAGTGTATGGGACTGCCTGCTCTGCGTGGTCCTGTCATGTGCCCTAGCATTGCTTCGTGCTTCCCTTGCTTGAGCAAGTCCGATGGGAGAGTCAGGGCTTCCTGTCTGTCTCTCACCCTGGACCCTCAAACTCATCATTGGGTCCCTGACCCCGGCCAGTCTCCCCAAGTCCCTGAGTCAGCTGCATGACATCCAGCCGGTACGTGTTCATGCTTCACACCCTCCATTTCCTTGCACACATCCCACCCCAACACCACGTGGTGGGACCTGCTGCTGCCTGAGGAGGGGAAGGAACCCTGGTGTCTCCACTCCTCTCCTTCGCCAGGGATATTAATTGGCAGCCCCTCCATGGAGCCATAAGCACTGGCACGTACCTGGAACAGGTCATGAACTCACCTAATCCCTGACCCTTCACAGAAAGACGGAGACTCTGGCACACATCTACATGGTGGTGAGGGGCACAGAGCGTATGTCTGGTGGGCCTGGCCACTTGGGCACTGACAGAGGAAATACACTTTGGGTGCCTGGGGACCGGGTATGGATCTCTGGGTGAGGATCTCACATTCACTGGAAAGAAGTACAGTCATCACAGGAGAGTCACCAGGGAGAGACGAAGGTGAGATAGAGCTGGATTCTGTAGCTAGAAAGAGGAGGAGCTGGCTCCCTCCTGGAGTCATGCAGCATGGTGTTGAAACACTTCTATTGTGAATGATGATTACAATTTACTGTTTCCTAAGTATTTGCTGTTACTTTCTATTCTATTTTGTCTTTACAAAGTTTAAAATGTAAGGTAATCTCCATGGTGTGGTTTTGCCTCTACCTCTCCTCAGAATAGGCATAACCTATCTGGAGTCTGGGTTACAGCACCTACACCTCTCAAGAGAGGGCTAACCACTGGAATATTTTGATACAGGGCTCCCTCAAATTTTCTTGGTCCACTGTGTATAGATAACCAGATTTATCAGGTTCTTAATTAATGTTTGTTTTTTGGAAAATAAAATGAAAATGTGCATGCTTCACATAAATCCTTGCTCTCAGGTAGGGCTGGGATAAGTGGTTTGGCCTCTCTCACCACTGCAGTGTGGGGCCAGGTGAAAAGCACCTCTCCATGGCTGTTGCAGACACAGCTGAGGGAAGGGTGCATGTCCGGATATTCGGCTATCAGAAATAGTCATACACAGTAGGAGCACATTTTAACTTACCTGGGCACTCATTAATGGATTTAAAAGTAGCCATTCTACAAAGGAATTTAAAAAAACAACTACAGAAGGAAATTGCAGAACTGGCTTTCCTATGCAAATCTGACACTCTCTCTCATAGACTGAACAAAGACATGAACAGGATGGGCTGTTATATTCAACACCCAATTGACAGAAAAAGTTAAGTATGGGACACTTGCAGCCCACTCAATTAACCTCATTAGCACCAGCACTACAATAGAGAGGTATTTTTTTCTTCCCCTCTCTTCTTTTTCTGTTGTATATTGTGAGGCTCCCCCTTTTTTCTCCACTTTCATCTGAGCAAGTGTCTTGCCCGCGTAATCTCATGATACTCTCTCTATATATATATATTTGTTAGTCTCTAAGATGTTACAGGACTGCTTCTTTTTGTATAGTTACAGATTAACATAGCTACCCTGCTGAGATCTCTGAAATATATAATAGATAAGACCATAAGAAAGGCCATGCTGGGACAGACAAATGGTCCATCTAGCCCAGTAGCCTGTCTGCCGACAGTGGCCAGCACCAGATGCCCCGGAGGGGGTGGACTGAAGACAATGATCAAGCGATTTGTCTCGTACTATCCATCTCCAGCCTCTGACACACAAAGGCCAGGGACACCATTCCTACTCCCTGGCAAATAGCCTTTTATGGACTTGACCTCCATGAATTTATATAGCTTCTCTTTAAACTGTTACCCACCCCCAGCCTCTGACACACAAAGGCCAGGGACACCATTCCTACTCCCTGGCAAATAGCCTTTTATGGACTTGACCTCCATGAATTTATATAGCTTCTCTTTAAACTGTTATAGTTCTAGCCTTCACAGCCTCCTCTGGCAAGGAGTTCCACAGGTTGACTATGTGCTGTGTGAAGAACTTTCCCTTATTAGTTTTAAACCTGCTACCCATTAATTTCATTTGGTGTCCTCTAGTCCTTATATTATGGGAACTAATAAATAACTTTTCTTTATTCACCCTTTCCACACCACTCATAATTTTATATACCTCTATCATATCCCCCCTAAGTCTCCTCTTTTCCAAACTGAAAAGTCCCAGTCGCTTTAGCCTCTCTTCATATGGGACCTGTTCCAAACCCCTCAGCATTTTAGTTGCCCTTTTCTGAACCCTTTTCAAGGCCAAAATATCTTTTTTGAGGTGAGGAGACCACATCTGTACACAGTACTCAAGATGTGGGAGTACCATAGTTCTATACAGGGGCAGTAAGATATTCTGGGTCTTATTTTCTATCCCTTTCTTAAAAATTCCTAACATTCTATTTGCCTTTTTGACCACCGCAGCACACTTTGTGGACATTTTCAGAGAACTATCCACGATAACTCCAAGATCTCTTTCCTGTTTTGTCGTAGCCAAATTAGCCCCCATCATACTATATGTATAGTTGGGGTTATTTTTTCCAACGTGCATTATTTTACACTTATCCTCATTAAACTTCATTTGCCATTTTGTTGCTCAGTCACTCAGTTTGGTGAGATCTTTTTGAAGTTTTTCACAGTCTGCTTCTGTCTTGACTATCCTAAACAGTTTAGTATCATCCGCAAACTTTACTACCTCACTGCTTACCCCTTTCTCCAGATCATTTATGAATAAGTTGAATAGGATTGGTCCTAGGACTGACCCTTGGAGGACACCACTAGTTACCCCTCTCCATTCTGAAAATTTAGCATTTATTCCTACCCTTTGTTTCTTGTCTTTTAACCAGTTATCAATCCATGAAAGGACCTTCCCTCTTATCCCATGACAATGTAATTTACACAAGAGCCTTTGGTGAGGGACTTTGTCAAAGGCTTTCTTAAAATCTAAGTATACTACATCTACTGGATCCCCCTTGGCCACATATTTGTTAACCCCTTCATAGAACTCTAACAGATTAGTAAGACATGATTTCCCTTTACAGAAACCATGTTGACTTTTGCCCAACAAACTATGTTCTTCTATGTGCCTAACAATTTTATTGTTAACTATTGTTTCGACTAATTTGCCCGGTACCAATATTAGACTTACTGGTCTGTAATTGCCAGGATCCCCTTTAGAGACCTTTTTAAATATTAGTGTCACGTTAGCTATTTTCAGTCAGTAGGTACGGAAGCCGATTTAAAGGATAGATTACAAACCACAGTTAACAGTTCTGAAATTTCCCATTTGAGTTCGTTTAGATCTCTTGGGTGAATACTATCTGGTCCCGGTGATTTGTTAACGTTAAGTTTTTCTATTTGTTCCAAAACCTCCTCTAATGACACTTCAATCTGGGACAGTTCCTCAGATTCATCTCCCACAAAGGGCGGTGCAGGTTTGGGAATCTCCCCAACATCCTCAGCCGTGAAGACTGATGCAAAGAAATCATTTAGTTTCTCCGCAATGGCTTTATCGTCCTTGATTGGTCCTTTTGTATTGTCTAGGGGACCCACTAGTTTTTTTGCAGGCTTCCTGCTTCTAATGTACTTAAAAATATTTTGCTATTGCTTTTTTGAGTTTTTGGCTAGCTGTTCCTCAAAATCTTTTTTTGCTTTTCTTATTACATTTTTTACACTTAATTTGACAGTGTTTATGTTCCTTTCTATTTATCTCACTGGGATTGGACTTCCATTTCTTGAAAGATGCCTTTTTGTCCCTCACTGCTTCTTTTACATGGTGGGTAAGCCACGGTGACTTTTTTAGGTCTCTTACTATGTTTTCTAATTTGGGGTATACATTTAAGTTGGGCCTCTATTATGGTGTCTTTAAAAAGTTTCCATGCAGCTTGCAGGGATTTGGCTCTCATCACTGTGCCTTTTAATTTCTGTTTAACCAACCTCCTCATTTTTGTGTAATTCCCCTTTTTGAAATTAAATGCCAGAGTGCTGGACTTGTGAGGTGTTCTTCCCACCACAGGAATGTTAAATGTTATTATATTATGGTCACTGTTCCCAAGCGGTCCTGTAATAGTTACCTCCTGGACCTGATCCTGCACTCCACTCAGGACTAAATCGAGAATTGCCTCTCCCCTTGTGGGTTCCTGTACCAGCTTCTCCAAGAAGCAGTCATTTAAGCCATTGAGAAATTTTATCTCTGCATCTCTTCCTGAGGTGCCATGTACCTAGTCAATATGGGGATAATTGAAATCCCCCATTATTATAGAGTTTTTTATTTTGGTAGCCTCTCTAATCTCCTTTAGCATTTCAATGTCAGTATCACTGTCCTGGTCAGGTGGTCGATAATATATCCCTACTGCTATATTCTTATTTTTGGAGCATGGAATTACTATCCGTAGTGATTCTATTGAACATATTGATTCATTTAAGATTTTTATTTGAATGATAGCTATTTATATGAATGATAGCTATTCCTTTCTCCATCTCTGCCCCCTGCTGGCCCAATAGGGTTATAGCTGTCCTGGTCCCAATCTATAGCACCTTGCTGCCTCCCTGTGGTCATTCTACAGTATAACTCCCTCCTACCAGACCCCTCCCATTCCATTTTGAGAAAGCACCAAACTCCAGGCACATCCCATTATCCTGGCACAACCAATCCCTTACCTCTCTTTAAGTTATGATAAGAGGAAGCTGAATCCCCAATTTAGTGGTCCTAGCTCTTACCATTTAGGAGGGGTTCTTGGACAAATGGACTCAAAGACAGATGCACATTTCTAAAATATATAGTATAATAGATTAAGGGGTCACGACACCAAAGAAATAAAGTGACTCTGTAGCCTAGTTTTTCAAGGTGGATGGCCCAGGGTCAAATCCTCCTGCTTCTTCGAATCTAGGCTTTTCCTTCTATGTGACCCACGACCTAAAGAGAGATGTAGCTATTTGTGATACAGCAGTGGAATGTTGAGAATCAGGGCTTCTGGCAGAGAAATATGTTTAGAGCCTGGGTTACTGACAGGGTAATCAAGTACATAGAAATGGCCTGTGTATTCTGAAAGACACCACTGGTAAAGGCATGAAAGTTGGACCTGGCATCATAGGGATCTCAGATCTATTTCCGGGATCTAGTTTAGCCAAACCAGTTGTGAACAACAGAAATGACAACATGACTCACAGAAATGTGCATAGAGCTTAGTCCCCTGGCTCACAACCCAGTGCACCTTCTCCTGGGCCAAGTGATATTTTGTGTGAGTCCCTCTCACACATGAGATTTTGTGTGAGATACAGGCAGACCTGCCAGGGCTGCAGATGCAAGTGTTGGCAGGTTGGGGCAATTTGTCCACTTCAGGCCAAAGTCTAAAGACAAAGAATCTGAACTAATCTGTACAGCCTGATCTAGAGGAATGCTTTGATTGTTTATCAACAAAAACTAATATACACACTGGTTCTCATTTATCTAATTTATTTAGACTTTCAAAAAAACCTTTTGACAAAGTCCCTCAGCAGAGGCTCTTAAGGCAGCCATGTAGTCAAGGGATGAATGAGAAATGTACTGTTATGAACTGGACACTGGCTAAGAGGCAGAAAATAAAAATGATAAATAGTCAGTTTTTCAATGTGGCAAGAGGTTAACAGTGTGATTCTTTCACAGTCCTGTATTAGGACTAGTTAGGGGGACTGGATAGCAGGTGTGAAAAATCAGGGCATCAGAGGTGTCAATGCAAGTGGTAGGGAGAAAAAAATCCTATGTAAGACAAAGCGCCTGATAAGAGGGACAGTCCTGATAAAATTGGGACATCTGGTCACCCTTGCACCATAGGCATAGTTTGACTTCTATATTTGGAGGGCAGCTCCAGTCAGGCCAAGGGGAACACACTTGGGGGACAAGAGGGGACACCAAATTCTACACCTGCCTGAGGCTTGCTCTTTGGTGGGGGGATGCTTCTTGCCCCTCCTAAACTACATCCGTGCCTAGGACTAATGCTGCTTAATGTGAGAACGGAGGTGGCAAATTTTGCAGAGAATACAACATTCCTTTGTGAATAAAGGCAGCTGAGTAACTTAGAGGGGATCTAACAACACTAGATGAACTAGACAACATGACAGCAGATGCAATTCAGTGCAGGTAAGTGCAATACAGTGCACTTTGATCCATATCATACCATCAGTTTAAAATCAGATTTCATTCTTCTGGGAAGTGTTGAAATACTACAGTGATGAGGTCTATGAAAAAACCTTATGATTCACAGAGAAGCTGAGATTTTTCAAAACTATTTAAAGGATTTGGACACCCAGCTCTGGAAATGGGGATGAAATTTTCAAAAATGCATAAAGGCCATATTTTTACAGTTATTTAGGCATCTAAAGGGAATTTCACAATCACCTACATGTCTAACACCCATTCATTTGAGGGGGTTTGTCGAGACCCCCACTAGACACCTATCTGAATCTCTAGGTGCCTAAATACCTTTGAAAAAGTGGCCTGAAGTGACACAGGAGAACAACTTTTCTTGTTGGGATTGGCCCTGCTTTGCACAGGGGCTGGACTCGATGACCTCCTGAGGTCTCTTCCAGCGCTGGGATTCTATGATTCTATGACTTTCAGGAGGAATTAGATTCTTAAGTGCTTAAGTCAACTTTGAAAATGAGATAGTGATGCAATGTTGAATAGAACAATGCCTAAATACCATTACGGATCTGGGCCTAAATCACTTAGGAGCTTTTAAAAACACCACCTTGGGCATCCAAACTCCTTAGGCTGCTTTGAAAGTCTCTGCCAATATAGATATCTATTTAATTTCCCTATTCACTTCAAAAGGGAGAGTTTTGCTTGGAAATGGCTGGCACCATGTGGCCCATTAACAGGGACGATATCATCTACTCATACAAACAGCTAGGATCTAAATTAAGTGCAAGAACTAAGGAAAGAGATGCAGGTGTCATGCTAGACAGATGAATGAAAACCTCTCCACAATGCATGATAGTGGATAAAAATAAAGTATGGATAAACACTTGGATAGAAAATAATACTGAATATTCTAATGCCACTATGTAAATTGATGGGACACCCAAAGCAGGAATACTGCATTCAGATCCGGTCATCCCACCTCAAAAAGGATAGAGCAGAATTAGAGGGGGTTCAGAGACAGAAGACAAACATTGTTAGAGCGCAGAAGAGACTTCTTTATGAGAAGGGGATGAAAAGACTGGAACTATTTAGACTACAGAGATGATGAAAAAGAGGGCACGTGATGTAGGTGTATAAACAGGAGAGAGAAAGTACCAGTAAATTAGGTTCCCAACTCTCCCTCTCATATTACAAGAAAAAGGAGATGGCCAGTGAAATAAAGGGTACTAAAACCAGCAGCAAGAAATACTGTTCTACACAATGCATGACTAGCATGTGGAACTCACTGCCACAACATGTTATCGAGGCAAAGAATAGGATGCCAAAAAAGGAGAATTAAACAAAGCTATGGGAATGATAAAAATATCCAAAGTTGCCATGGTTAGGATAAAGATTTCTAAGGGATCTTTATATTGAGGCCATAAGCCAACTAATTAACATCCTGGGAACAAGCAGCCACTTTCCCCCCATGGACATGTTATTGCAAAATTGTCCCTTATGGGAGTTTCACACCTTCCTTTGAGGTATGTGGTTCATAGCCACTTTTAGAAAAAGGGGACTGGAGTAGTTTGACTGCTGGTCTGATGACATGTAGCAATTTCTACTCTCCAGGCCACACAGTGCTGTCTTTCTCTCTCTCTGTAGTTCACACCAATCCCACCTCGGGCTCTTTAGTATGCACCCTGCGCTCTAGAATGTCTGAGTGGGGTAGGGCCATAATGGCAGGAAGGACACCGAATTCCTTCCTTTATGGATTTTCTCATGTCTCTTGTGGTGGGAGCTGTGACTAAAGCTTTTCCCGCAATAAGCACATATATAGGGTTTCTCGCCCGTGTGGATCCGCATGTGTTTGACCAGGTCCGAGTTCTGGCTAAAGCTCTGCCAGCACTCGGCGCATGTGTTGGGGATCTCGATGGCTGAGGTTCTCTTCTTTGATGCTTTGGTTTCTTTCACCTTCCCAACAGCAGTGCTTTCCCGGTGGGTGCATTTACCTTGCCTCTTCCCTGGAGGGCTCCTCAGATGTCTCTTGTGGTGGGAGCTGCGGCTAAAGCTCTTCCCGCAGTCGATGCACATGTAGGGCTTCTCACCCGTGTGGACGCGCTGGTGTTGAGTCAGGGTCGACTTGTCCGTGAAGTTTTTCCCACAGTCAGGGCAGTTGTAGGGTTTCTCCCCTGTGTGGGTTCTCTGGTGCCGGATGAGGTTTGAGCTGACGCTGAAGCTTTTCCCACAGTCAATGCATTTATAGGGCTTCTCCCCTGTGTGGATTCGCCGATGATTAATAAGGTCTGAACTCTGAAGGAAGCTTTTCCCACACTCAATGCAGATGTTGGGCCTTTCCCCCATGAATGTTCTCCGGCGGACAATGGTACCTTTGCGTTTCCTCACACCTTGCATGCTGTGAGCAGACTTACTTTCCTCTGGAGTGTTTTGCTGCTGTGCTTCTGATTCATCTGGACTCCTAGGGGATTTTTCCTGCTCAGGGCTCTCAGAAACACTGCCTTTGGATCTTATCAGAGACATCTTATATGGTTCCTCCATCTCAGACCGTTCTCCTTGTCACTCACAGCTGGAATAAAGAGAGAATCCAGAAATGAGACATTGCCTATGCTGGGGGGAAAGGGAACCTCAGAAGGGGAACAGGAAATCCAACGCCTCTGACAAATTATCTTTGAATTTATCACAATAAAAAAACCTTCACCTTTCATGAGCCCTACATTCATGAAAGCATCATGGACCTAGCAAAGCCACTACACTCTTCCAAGACTCCACTGTCATCATGCCTACAAGCATCTCAGTAATTGTAAGCTATGACCACTCTTTATCACACTGGTCACAATTACCTAACTGTTCCTTTGGGCATCCCCCAGTTTGCTGTGTTTGCAGATTGTACTTCAGATTGTACACACTCTTAGGAGCAGCAACTGTCTATACACAATGTGTAGCACAACAGAACTGGGCGCCCACAGGACAATTACTAATGCTAAAAGCTGTGGGTGCTCTGCACCTCTCAAAATCTGCCCTTCTATTTACAGAGGGGAACATTTTAAGTACTGAAATAAATTACCTAGAGTCCAGGGAGGATGAGGAATCTCCATCATTGGAGGTTTTTTGCAAACAGGTTAGACAAATACCTGTCAGAGATGGTGTACATCAGAGGTAAGTTGTACTTGGCTCCCTTACAGTGATAAAACTTCTTGTCTCTTTTGTATGCTTTTAAGAGCAGCAATGGTGAACTGAAGGCCCAAGGCTCAGGGCCCCAAGAGCATTGGGAAACCTGTGCTGGTGCTCTCACCCCACTCCCACTGTCCTCCTCAGGGCTGGAGCACACAAAATATAGTAGGCTGGGCCCTCCTAGGCTCTGGTGTGCAAGGGAAATGTGGTGAGCCTCTTTCTCCTTCTCACGCGGGAGCTACATCATTGAGGGGGAGTTGTGTTTGTTGTTTTGTTGTTGTTTCTGCTTCTCACTTGTGTGTGGTCCCAGACTGATTTTTCTTGATGTCAGAGGCTCTTGACCCAAAAAAGGTTCCCCACCCCTGATGTGGGACCTCCTGAGGTCCCTTCTATTCCACGTTTCTATGATTTCTATGATGACTCCAACTTTCAAAAGCATCTAAGGGATAGATTTTCAAAGGTGTTTACGAGCCTAAAGATGCCAATAGATGCTACTGAAAAGCTCACTGGGTGCATAAACACATTAGATGCCTAACTCTCACTCAAAGACTCCTAAATGTCCATGGAGATTTTGAAGATTGTATCCACTTTTTAAACATTAAAAATAAATTGATATGATACAATGACCAAAATGCACCCATGCCTTACTAAGTAATCCTCTGAACTTATTATAATTCCCTTTGTCCCTTCTGTCCCCCACTGCTTCTGCCATGACACTCACTTGTGTCACGTCTGAACGCTGGATCCAATCCTGCATGCAGTTAAGCAAGCGATTAACTTATAGCACTGATTTAATTACTTGCATAAGCAATTATTCGCATACAAAAATTTTGCAAGATTGGGCAACTAGGTTGACCTAGGTTACAAGAACCATGTTGGTAATAGAAAGGAATAAAGAAATGAAAACAAGACCCACTCAATCAAAATTAAAAGAGGATAACATAATGCCAATCAACATAGTGTTAGGGACAACAGATCTTGTCAAATAAACTTGATATCATTTTTAAGAAGATTACAAGTTGGGTGATAAAGGAAGAAAACATAAAGTAACTGCTGGCAAAGTATGACTCAAAAATTAGTAGAGTAGTAAAAAATGATGAATATAGGTAGGTCAATATTTTAGGAGGACTGGGTTCTCTTGGTAAGATGAGCTCATCTGAAATCCTCTCTAGTCCAGCATTCTCTGGTCCGGCAACATCCATGGTCCGTCATGATTTTAGTTAGATGGATGACCACTTATCATGCATGTGGCCAAGTTTCCCGTAGCCCCATAAAGTTTGTTTATAGCCACCCATGCTGGCTGTCAGTGTTCTGTGCTGTTATTTCATTCTAATTTACACCCAAAATGTCTTTTAAGAGCCCTGTAAGCAGTGGAAGTGTTGGTAATGCTATTAGACAATATTGATCTCCTATGCTTTGGCAAATTCTCTGGTTCGGCATGGGTCAGGTTCCAAGGGTGCCAGATTAGAGATGTTCAAGCTGCATATTTGTTTTAATACAGTCAAAGGTAAAGTTATACATCTAAGAATAAATGTATGTCATGCTTACAGACTGAGGGTCTGTACCCTAGACAGCAGGAACTCTGAAAGGGACTTTGGGGTTCTGGAGGAATCAGCTAACATGAGCTCCCAGCATGATGCTGTAGCTAAGAGATTCAATATGACCCATGGAGGGATAAGCTAGAAATGTTAAATATCGGTTACTTCAATAGTCGATTAACCTCATTAATTCTTATCGGTTACTCGACTATTCTATAGTCCCTGGGGGCGAGGCCAAGCAGCCAGTACGCTCTGGCCCCACTCCTGAGGAGCCCCCTGCCACTATGCTGCTGCCTCTGTATCAGAGGTGGGGGTGCCAGGTGTCCAGTTTTGAACTGGACAGTCCAGTATTTGAGCTTTCTGTTCAGGAAACAAATGGAGAAAATATAAATGAGAAAATAAAAATGTCCGGTATTTTCTAAATAAGATGTAATGTAGATTGTGATGTAATGTCAAGTGTGTCTGGTATTTTTGTTGAAACCATCTGGCAACCCAGAGACAGCAGTGCAGGGTGCCAGGCGGAAGCTGGTCCATAAGGGAAGCCAGTTTAAAAACCAGCCCCCGTCCGGGGTGAGGGACACGTTGCCCCACACTGCTGCCTCTGATACTGAGGCAGCAGTGTGGGGTTGCAGAAGCCCCTGTCCGAGCTCCCAGATCTAGAGTGAGCCGGAACTGAGTCAGGCTGCCTATCTCCCTGGCTTCTAATAGACTTTAAAGGCAGAGATGCAGCAGGCAAAGGCCCTGAGCCAGGCTGCTGGCCAGCCCCTAAAAAGTTTACTGGCGGGGGAGGAGGGGAATGCAGTCTATAGCAATAACATATAAGCTTTTTCTTATTTATTAACTGACTTCATTATTACATCCCTATCCTAGACATTAGGGGACATAACATTTAGATGGGGGAAAAAATAAGAGTTTCAAGAAAAATATTCATTAACTCATTTCAGCATATGTTCCTAGGTATGCAATATAGTTCAGAATCCTATGTAGTCTTTCAGGTAGCAATTGGCAACCAGATTGTTTAGGGGAAGAGGGAAGAAATAGGAATGAAAAAAATATTTTCCTTTTTATTCCCCAAGCTCACTAGATTACCTGAGCTACAACATATCTGTGTCCTCCTAGTGATAGTAAGTGAAGACTGTCAGCAGCTCCTTTGAAAGCAGCTGTTGGGAGTTTAAATGTCTCCCTTAGCCCTATGCGAAGATAATGTAGAATCAAATGAAATAAAAATATTAAATGAATCAACATCTTCAATAGAATCACTATGGATAATAATTCCATGCTCCAATAATAATAATTTAGCAGTAGGGATATATTATCGACCACCCGACCAGGACAGTGATACTGACATTGAAATGCTAAGGGAGATTAGAGAGGCTACCAAAATAAAGAACTCTATAATAATGAGAGATTTTAATTATGCCCATATTGACTGGGTACCTGTCAACTCAGGAAGAGAAGCAGAGATAAAATTTCTCAATAGCTTAAATGACTGCTTCTTGGAGCAGCTGGTACAGGAACCCACAAGGGGAGAGGCAATTCTCGATTTAGTCCTGAGTGGAGCGCAGGATCCCGTCCAGGATATAACTATTACAGGACCGCTTGGGAACAGTGACCATAATATAATAACATTTAACATTCCTGTGGTGGGAAGAACACCTCAGCAGTCCAGCACTCTGGCATTTAATTTAAAAAAGGGGAATTACATAAAAATGAGGAGGTTAGTTAAATGGAAATTAAAAGGCAGAATGACTAGAGCCAAATTCCTGCAAACTACATGGAAACTTTTTAAAGACAAAGCCCTCACTAAAGGCTCTTGTGTAAATTACATTGCCATGGGATAAGAGGGAAGGTCCTTTCATGGATTGATAACTGGTTAAAAGACAGGAAACAAAGGGTAGGAATAAATTGTAAATTTTCAGAATGGAGAGGGGTAACTAGTGGTGTCCCCCAGGGGTCAGTCCTAGGAACAATTCTGTTCAACGTATTCATAAATGATCTGGAGAAAGAGGTAAGGAGTGAGGTAGTAAAGTTTGCAGATGGACTATCTACCTATACCTCATTCTGCAAAGCACCCAGAACACTTGTGTGCCTGAAAAGAACAACAACAATAATAATCAACATAAAAGCAGGATCAAAGGAGCAGCTTTGGAGGATTCTTGCTGGCACTGCCAGGGGCTGGCTTTTCCTCTCTCTGCTCTTTACCCTGTTACCAAGAAAATGTATCTGCTTAGGGTAGGATGCTGCAGAAAAGGGTTTGAGGCAGGCGTGAGCACTGGGAACCTCCCTCCCTCCTGCTGCCTTCGGTAGGCTCAGTCTCCAGGGCCAGAAAATGGGGTATTGTTTTTACATGATAACAAATGACATTTGCCAACTCTTGGTAACATGCCAGTGGGGATAGGATGCAATCAGATTTTACTGCACTGTAGCTTGTGGAGACCAACAGTATCTTCCTCCCCCCACCCTCCACTCCTGGGTTTGTCTTTGCTTAGCTACATAATGGTACAAATTAGAGTCTTTTCTCCACCAGGATTTTAGAGCAGGGAAACAAAACTGTCTTAGTTATTATTCTCCTCTGTAAAAACACCACCTTTGCTGGCAGCAAAGGCAGCCTCACCCTTTCTTCAGTTCTCTGCAAGATTTTCAATAGAGCTCAGCCCCCAAGCAACCGCAACAATGCTCCATGGAAAGGGGGCACCTCCCCCCAACTCTTCTACATGGGGAGGTGTTGGTCCCGGAGCACTTTTGAAAATCTGGCCCTGAATGGGTGTCTCCATCCCGCCGGAAATGCTGTCCTCTCCCTACTGCCTTCTCTGCCCTCCTCGGGCAGGGAGACTCGGGCCCTG